ACCGGTTCCATCAAGAGAATTTGCTTGAGCTTTACGAATGCGCGAGTGTGTCATTGCTCCCAGAAGGTTTCGAGTTTGCATTCTCTCAAAAACTGTCTATACTTATGTTTCCCTCCTTTCACACTGATTGGTGGTGCATCCAGGTTGCGCAACATGTCTGTGAGCGGTATTGCGATACGAGCGTAGTCTTTGATTAACGATCTGAAGTATCCTGTCAAGCCTAAAAAGCGCATCAATTCTAATAAATTTGACGGAACTGGCCACTCAGCGACTGCGGCAATCTTTGTTAGATCTGGCCATATGCCCTCCCGTCCCACTCGTGCTCCCCCGAAAATGACTTTGTTCATGAACAATTGTGTCTTCGTTGGCGATATTGACAAGTTCCGTTCTCGGCACCTGGTGAAAAACATGCATAAGCGATCCAATAATTCACTGAATATGTTTCCCGCCATTGCGCCATCATCGACGTATAGCTCCATGAGTAGTTTGACTAGGATATCTGACAGAGCCAGTGCTGTAAGGTCGCTGAAGCATGAAGGAGCTCCTTGCACGCCCATTGGCATTCGACGATACGCTTCATATCCTCGCCCTTCCGTGTAGAAGCATAGGTATGGTTGACTGTCTTCCTCTACCGGTATCGCGTAGAAGCTGGCTGCAAAATCCAATACGCAAATATATTTGTGCCCTGCTAAATGTTGTTGCTTCGCTGCGATGTCCCCTTGTGGTGTTGGTGCGACTTGAGAGATTTTATTGACATCGTTGAAGTTTTGACAGATACGCCATTTGACCTTTGGCGTATCGATTTCCTTCAATTCTGGTTCTGCTGCTGATGCTGAGTTCATGTCAATATCTAAATCCGGCGGCTCACCGAGTGCGATACATTGCTTATTAACAATCCTCCGTATGTCCTCCATCGAAAGGCTTGTCCCTGAATGTGTTTTTTGTATGAGGACTGTTGATGTGATGGCCTTTACTTCGTCCGATTTGATAAACCTTGTAATTCCTGCTTCCCGCATGTCGTCCAGTACTGGGAACAGGTATTCTCATTGCGGTTTGGTTAACGGTCGTTGGTGTACCTTCTTCGAGAGCGTAGCGTCTGGTGGAATCTGTAGTCGGAACTTGATGAAATCTACTTGTTTCACCTCTCGTACTGATAGTGCAAAGACGTCTGCGAATTCCGCAATAAGTGCTTGAGTCTGTGCCCGTTGATCTTCCGTGAGGTGTTCTCCATAACGGACCGCGTTCACTATTGCTTCCACTCGTGCTGGCCAGAACGGTCCGTGTTCGGTCAACCTAGTAAAGATATCTTTGGGTAGCGTCGAGGTTGATGGGTCTAGTACATCACCTGCTGTAGGTACTTGTTCTATATCTTCCACTTCGAAAACCGATTGAGGAACTGAGTCCGATTGCGTTGCTTGATGAGGGGTGATGGTGAGCTCGTCCGTGTTCCTTTCGCTGATGGGTGCCTGTTGAATTGAAGTGTTAGTTGATGACTCGAGTTTATGTACGTCTATAGGTGATGGTATAGTAGATACATGTAATATATTATTATTGTTATTGACGTTCTGCTTAAGTATAGACATTGAGGATGGTACGATTTGATTAAAGGTGGTACTGGATGGGAAACGGATAGCTGTAGGTAAGCATGGAAGCGGTAATGGTCGAAATGTGGTGAAGTTCGAGATTCGATGGAAGTCGTTACCATATGGAAGTAGTATGGCGTCACTGCTATAATCGTGTATTGCACACACTTGCTCTAATAGTGGTTTTCCGATTAGCATGCGCCACGATCCTCCACTAGGAAATACTTTGACGGTTGTTTGAATATTGATCAGTCCCCAGGAGATTGTTCCTGACCATACACCAGTTGACGATACTAGGGAGCCATCAGCCATACGCAGCGTTCTAGAAGATGGACTTAGCGGGGATAATCTTCTTGCGATCCGCTGAAAGGCTGCTGTGTCGATTGCGTTGATCATGGCGCCGTTGTCGACTATGGCTAGGATTCGTATCTTCTCTCCCTGAGGTCCGTGTAGATGAGGTACCGTAAGGAAGGGATTGCTCGTTTGAGTTCTGATTGCTTGCCCCGCGTCATCCAACAAATAAACATCAGTGATAGTATTGCTAGATATAGTGGAGGGTACAACCGAGTGCGTGTTCATTGATAGATTCTCAGACGATGTTACTACGTCCGTAACTGAAGAAGAAAGATCTGTAGTCAAAGGGTTACTAACTGGTAGCGAGTTAGTTTGCGAGAGATGAGAAGGTAACTTGACAGGCATGGTAGGCGATCCATTCTGAGTATGTACAATATTGAGTGCTTGTGGCGCTGTAGAGGATGAAAAAATGAAATGTTCTGGCTTCGTCGACATGGGTGATTGGTTGGTGGACGGACTCTGATCTTGTGGGACTACTGCTGGTCCATCGTTTGCAGTGGTCCCCCATAGTTTTCCGAACTCCACTCATAACCTTGATCCGAAACACCTGCTCCCTCGTATGGTTCTCCCCAACCGAGTTCCTCCTGCGGCGCAATATGGTAGACTGGTGCGGACAGTGTGTTCCCTTGCGGTGGGAAGTAAGGATGATTTGACGTGGTGACGTATTGGACTGGTGTGGGGTATGGAATTCGTGGTGTCTGCTGCTGGGTTGCTTGTCGCAATAGTCCTGCTATGTACTGACGCCATCGAGTCTCATGTGGTCATAGTTGACTCGTAGCCATGCACTGCGAACTAAGGTGTGTCGGATCCGTGACCATTCCACAACTATAACACTCTCCCGATCCTAACATTGCTGTTCCCGGATGTAGGGGATATGGCCGTTCTAACGATTGAGCACTGTCCATACCATATGCTCTGTGCCATAGGCTGACATCTGCTTCATATTGCCGCATCCCAGGTTCTGTGTTAGGCCTTTGCGGCATCAGAGCCGTCTTTTCTAGAATCTGGGAGCGAGACAGCTGTACTCGTGGGATAAATGTTCCCCTATTGTTACCATACGTTGGGTATCCACTGCGCACTGGTATTCCTACGTTCATTGATGGTAACATTGCTGGTGCTGTGGTGAATGATGATGGGTTGAGAGCGTTCGGCATTCGTACTGGTGCAGGGTGGTTCGTGGGTGATGCGTGCTGCAGAAATTGTTGTGGAGCGGGCGAGGGAAATGCTATGCTTTGCATCTTGAGTTTGGAGATCTCTACGTCCCTCGCTCGTTCCTTGTCTAAATTCTCACGTCCTCATTTGAGTTTGATGTTCGGCACATCTTGTATGTCTTCCACGAACTCATCCCATGAGTTGTAGACGCACTTGAGATGGTCTTTCAACAGGTCCGGGATGCCTTCTAATGCATACTCAATCATTGCACCATCCACATCACCCATTCCCAGTGCCAATCGCGAGATGTTGACCGCCCAGGTTACATGTGCATAGTTACCCGTCCTCCCTTCTTGCGTCCAAACTCCAATTTCGTCTTCTTTCAACACTTGCGCCATGATGCGCTCCTTCTGTTGCGCTCGCGTGAGTTTAGGACGCTTAGGAGGTGGCCAGCATTTGAAAAATTCAAGTTTGAGGTTGGCGAATGAGCTGAGATGGTGGGACGTTAAGTTATGGTACCATTCTTCTGTGACTTCTCCTGGTGTCAGCTGCATGCCGAACCGTTGAACGCGCTGTGCATCTGTCCAAGATATAGGGAGCGATAGCTCAAATTGAGCGAACCACGCTGATGGGTTCTCGTTCTCCCCATAGTCGCCATAGAAGAGTGGTACTGATTTCACAGTGTCTGGTGTACCCATTGTCTGCATTTTGCCTAAGGCTGCCCATGGTTTGTTTGATTTCGAGGTCGTTATGAGAGGTGGTTTACGAAGTGCCGATGTCGTCTTTGCTACTGACTTACTTCTCGGTCTAGTAGGCGTAGTCGACAATAACGAGGTTTCAGTAGAATCTGAGGAGGGAATATTGTCTACCGGTGTGAAGTGTGCTGGGTGAAGGCGAAATGCGCCTCCAGTTTCTCCCGATGGTTCGTGTTCAACGTAGTGAGGCAGTGGCAGAGAAACATTACGTCTCCTTGGTGTTGTTGGTGCTCCTTCCAAGGGATTCATTGGGGAAGAAGTAGGAGGAAGTACTGATAGTGTGCCTCTTCGCTGTAGGCGTCGCAGCTGTGTGCAGTCTTCAATAGAAATTCCACCTGATCCAGGTTCCTGCTTGATTTCGTGGGTCACCTCCCCACTCTCATCACCATATGTCCTAGCCAGCCTTGCGCTCGGGAAAGGGTGAAGACAGTGTCGTTGTCGTCGTGTGTGGTATGATACAAGAGTGTGCTCTATGTGCTCCTAGACCCCAAGCCCCGAGACCCCGGAATCTGCTGGTTGAGTCCTTGCCTCCTCTAACTGCGTCATCTGCTCTACTCTCCTATCCTCTGCTATCCCTCATGACCACGTCCTCCTCCTATCCCTGTCTCCCCGGCCTTCACCCGAAGCTCCCCACTACAACGGTCAGGATAGTGTCAAATTTCTCCGAGCATGACCCCCAGTGAGAACTGGCTGTGCTCGAAACAGCCGGAGTGTGCTAGGATATGCTTATGGTAGTGGCTGAGCAAAGAAGCATCAATCAGCATATCTTGGATATGAAACGGTGAAAATAGCACATTAACAATAAGATGGGGCAAAGCCTCTGATGCTGCCTTATGTTTTTCTTCGCACGAACATATGAATATCACACTGGCGCATATTAGAGCACACTTTTGATTCCCTGGGTGAATGTGCTCATATAGGCTGTGATATGATTATGCTTGGATATTGTTTGATTGTGCTGGGATATAAAACACACCTGTAGCACTAGCACAGCTCTAAAAACACTACAGAAAGCGACGAAATACGAAATAAAACTGAGAAACACAGCATCGGAATGTACGAGGTGGGATCAAAACAGTGTCAAAAGTGTCCGGAAGGCGGCGGGTAGGATGGGAAACAGCCTCGAATGCATAAAGCGCGAAGGAGTGGAGATCTACTAGTACATCTTGCCTGTATTGATAGTCTTGTTCCATTTGTTTTCGGTAGCCTAGAAACAATCAATCAGAATAGATGCTGATGCCAACCATATTACTCACAAGTGTGTTCGCTTCATTGTCATACTCCTAGATTAGTAGAATGAGTGGATATCTGTGCAAAGGGAACGAAGTCACATACCTTCCTCTGCTCTTCATTGAGGCTGCCGTAGTAGACACAGAACTTGTCCGTAGTTCCGTTTGTCTTGATTTGCTTGAGCCAGCGGTGGGTGCATAAATTCCTGGTCGTATAAAGTAGTCAGACAAAGAATATTAAAAATGAATTCATGTACCGTCCATTATGCTTTGGGCTCGGACACATTTTGCCCTTGCCGCTGGCCTTACTCAGTTTCTCTTTCTTCGCATTCGAGCCAGTGCAATCTTCTAGAGGAGGGTCTCCAGGACCATGGGACTCGAGGGGGGGACTCACATCTAATTCAGCTGGGGGAGATGGTGGTATATCGACTTTTGCAGCAGCGAGTGCTAATACAGAACTATAATACTGTGTTAGTAATGGACCAGATAAAAATCAACAACTTACAGAGGATTTGGAAGTGTGATTCTGAGAGGCTTTGGTGCAGGAGTGGACCGAGGCTTGGAGCTAGCATTAGATAGTACAGTGATCGCAGTCTCGTCCAAGTCAATCAGAGGTTCAGCAGTGTTCTTGGTGTCAACAAGGGGTTTGGTAGTGTTCTCAGTGTTGGGAAGAGGTTCGGTAGTGTTATTGGTGTTGACAAGAGGTTTGGTAGTGTTCTCGGTGGTGGCAAGAGGTCCGATAGTGTTCTCGATAGGTTCAGTGGTGTCAGCAGAGTCAAGATCGGGGCTTGATGGCGTGTTCTCCTTCTCAGAGTTAGTTCAAGTGATAATCAGAGACAGAACAGGCCCAGGGACATCGACAACAGGCGCAGGTAGAGCTGCAGGGGTGCTTAAGGGTGGAGATAGAGAAGAACTGTAACAATAATTACATGCACCCTTGACTTGGATTTTCTTGCTGGAAACCTTGGGCTCAATAGATGCCATTGACCACTTGCGTTTCTTGCCTGTTTGCTCATTGCTGTTGGTGTCGTTGTCGTCATCGTCGTCATTGTCCTCTTTCTTGACGTTGTCTCGAGATTTTCGGTCATCACTGTCAAGATCATTGCGGCGCCAGGAAGGATATGAGGTTGTTGCGAGATAGTCTAATTTCCAACCGTCATCAGCAAACTTAAAAAATTGGTATGCATCTTCCATCAGCATGTGTATAAGCTGTCTCGCAGAATCAGTCACCTTCCCCCAAGATTGTGGCACTATTTTTTGATTTAAAAGCTCAGACCATCCACCCTGGAGAGGCTTGCGGATTGCTTTGACTGTGTTTTCAGGGACTGGATCCCCGTTTTCATCCTCGAGATATGGAATCTTCCCGCGATCAGTGGTTTGGCTACTGGCAGTATCGAGCCAGCTCATAAAGTTGTCCTGGGACCAGAACTGTATCTTGGGATATTGCCTGCGGGTAGGGCAACTGGATCCAGGAGATGTCAGGATGATAGCCTTCGAATCATGGAGCTTGAATGGATCGGGTTTGGACAGCTGAATGGCACTTGCGAGATGTTCAAACATCGACCTATGAAATTCAATTAAAATTGGCTAGTACTAAGAGAAAACTTACTTGATGGTATCACGCTCAGTGGTCAATTGAATTTCCCGCAGCTCTAATGCCTTGCAGTGTTCATGCAAGGCTTGATTATCCTGCATATATGCGCCCTAAAAATATGTTTATGAACAGTAGAGTCATTAGCCTATAGGCTACAGTACATACCTGATGAAACTGGCACTGTAGTGGGCCTGAATCAGCAAATGGGTCAGGTAGCAGCATACCTGGAGACAGGAGGGAAGGGTAAGATGGGTCTCTTGCCCAATGTGGACTCGGATTCTGGAAAGGGGAGTGATCATATGAATTTCTGTCATTATTAGAGTGAACTGATGGTCCCTCATGAAATGGAAACATGCTGGGCGATGGCAAGGATGACGAGGAAAGGTAGAAAGCCTGCATGTGTTCAATGAGCAAATATCAATTCAAAACACGTCAGAACTTTAAATTTCTGACTACACCAGAATTCGTACGAGTCCTTTGCTCAGACATACATACTCTTATTTATTATTGTCCCTCAATGCCTTCCTCTACTATTAACATGTTCGAGGATAATATCCTTGTTGAGATTGATGGTGTCACCTCTGTGTGGGACACATATTGTCTCAGCCTTAATATCGTCACTCCTGGATCCAAGGTAAGTCGTTCTTTTTAATAAGATAATTGTGATGTTTATCTATTCAGCGAGTGATTTTTCGGTTCAAAGATATTGAGAAGATCATTCAGCAAGGCTCGTACAATGTGTGAGTCCACTATTTGTTTAATACAGCATACATGTCATTTACTCTGAAGCTAGTGATAATCAGCCATCCAGCACAGTCGTGACCGAGGACAAAATCAAGACTGAATCCGATTCACCTCAGACTACCATCAAATTCGAGGAGGAGGATGTGAAGCTCGAGCTCGAGGGGAGAAGTGCCCCAGCCGAAGAGGATGGCACAAAGTCTACATACACTACCTTCGTCCAAATAACTAACTGACATATTTTGGAAGGACTGTATCTCCATGCACGCTACTCACTCAATGTTGTCAGAATCCGAATGCATGCCCTACAGACCCATTTGCACCATGGCGCTACTTGGTATGACCTTTCAATCGGTCAAATGTTGCAACACGAGTGGCTTAAAGGAAGGCATTGTATGAAGAGATTAGAAACTATTCAGGAAAACATCATAAAGTCTGATATTTTTTGCCCGCTGCTTTGTTCATTTTCACTTCATTTGTATGCTTTCACTTCGCATAGTTCAGTCAATTGTTTTGCACCTTTGCAGTCCTTACTTGTAATAATACTGTTATTATTATACTTGCAATTGTAACAACACATTTGTCCACTACTATTCGGGATCATCAAGATCATCAAGATCATCCTCAGCATCCAAATAGCCTGAGTAAGGTACTCCAAGGTTGGATATATCAAGACCCGGTCTCTCCATCATGAAAAAATGGGGCTCAGTAACTCCTGAAGGGAGTGTTGGGGTGTGTGGAACCATGGCGACAACACTGAGAATTTTCTTGACATCAAGAATGCAAAATTCATCGAGGCGGGTGCAGGAAGCAACTGTTTGCGACAAGAGTTTGAGAAGTGAGTCGTCGGGGGCAGAATACAACTGAATCAATGCAACATTTACAAACTGCCAGTCTTCTTTGTCACCAGGATCTGCTTCAACAGACAGCCGTGTAAAATATAAGATTTCGCCAAAGCAAACCTGTCCATCAAGATCAATCTAGTAAATACTAGAATTAGAATTAGTCAGTAGCAGACAGTGAATTATGAGTGCACCTTTACATTCCGCAAAATATGTATCTTCTCCAATGGCTTGATGGTTTCTTGCCAAGCAGATCGCACAATCTGCCCATTTGGCAGCAAAAGATGTGCCCATTTCTTGATGCGATGAAGTACACGACCTTCTCCAAGGAAATGAGCAATGTCTTCTGCATGCTCTGGATCTGGAAGATGAAAGTATCGGTCGCGTTTCCGTAGGAGAGCGTATCCATCTCCAAGGTCGACTGAGCTGGTTGGAAGGCCCTTGGGAGGCTCATCAAGCTCAGGTAGGACAGAAAGCAGCGTGTTAACTTGGCAACGCTGCAGTCCCTCTTGTGAGAGGTTGGCATAGGGATTTGATGGTTGTTGAATCTCTTGGCCAAGGTTTCCAATTGTGCGCTCCATGGTCCACTGTGCATAGCAAATCGGAGGTCCCTTTCTTAAAGTTTTGGGAGCAAGGTGGTTGACTTGATGAACGCATGGCCGGATAAACTGTAGTCGATCTTTGTTACGCTGGTAATACAATGTTTCAAATTCTTTCTCCCAGTTGCAAAGAAGGACGTGTGCATGTCGAAGATCTTCGGTGGTGATGCGATGCTGACATAACAGCTGGAAACCACGAACAAGTTTGCAGTAATTTAGCCAATAAGGCTGGGGAAGGACACCATAAAGTAGGGCAGGACCGAGACCGAATGTATACAACTGGAATTCCCAAGTTTTGTAGCTTGTATTAAGCTTCTCGGCAATGTTGCATGGCTTGCGATCGAAGGATCCAGGGAGATATGGTCCTGCTGCCTCAACTAGTCCGCCATGAGCTTCCCAGGCATCTCGGTCTTTAAGAACAGCCCAATCTCAGCTATCCACATCATCTGATGGGCCACAGTCCATCGTTCCACGCCAGAGACTGATGTTGAGATCACTAAGATTCCCGGCAATATGCATGATGTCCAATGTCATACAATGAGGAACTCTGAGACAGTGGGAAGGTTTGAGGCCAAGAATTAGTGGGGGCTTTGTGATGCCAGTGTTGGTCTTATTTTTGTCCAACTGGCGCTGGTTCAGAGATGCTACAAGCAGACATAAGTTTTCAGCGTATTCATCTGATCCTCCAGGTGGAATCTTAAACACCTGAATATCAGGATGTCCACTACCGGGAGCACACCATTGCGGCTTAAGGAGAGCGGGATAATAATGACTCCTGCAAGTTTTTTGTCTGCCCCTCACACCACAGTATAATCGACACCTGTTCTTACCACTATGCCTAACCATGCCGTCCCAGTATACAAGTCCAGGGCCATCAGCTGTTGTATAAAGGAGATGGAGGTTGGAAATAAAGCGAGCATTGCGAGATGCATCCCAAATCGGAAGACCTTCGTTCTGGAGAGCTGCAAGATGGTGCATCCCTACGATGAGAAAAGAGTCGAGATTCTTGGGTTTGTTAGGACCTGGTATGAACCTGACTGGACAGACATGTACCTTTCGATAGCGCTTGTCAGGGGCGAGATTGATGATAACCCAAATGTACATCCAACAGTCTGACTGTTTGCTTTCATAGAGTTGGGCCCCGTCAAGTGAAACCATGAGGACTATGTCATTTTGTTTGATGTGCCCATCCAGAACCATGTAGAGGTAATCGTAACCCATAGCGATATTGTCTACAATGGGAATTTGCCCAGTTTGCTCTAACTCAGCAAAAATTTGCTGCATGCAATCATGGAGATAGTGCATGTCTCATGCACTCTCTGGGTTCCGGTACACGGCTTGGAGCTGTGGGCCTATTGGTATAGTGACGAATGTTTGTGCAGCGACCTTTTATCGCCCACCGCTCGCTTGCATTTTTGCCTGATCCCAGCAAGATGTTCTGCACAATGGACAGTTGTCCTCGTCAGCATATGGGCCAGTGAACGCAAGACACGACTCCAGTTTATTTCGCAATGAACTTCTCAACAGCCTTGAAACTGAGTACCTCATTGGCTCCTTCTGCGCCTGCAAAGTTGCGTGTTATAGCTCTACGTATCCGATCATAGGCATGTTGCGAACTATGCTCAAGTGCAAGGTACATGGATATACTCTGGTGAACTCCTGGTCTCTCGATGTCACCAGGTTCTTGATGCGGATTACGCAGTCTAGCTAGGACATCCTCACCCAGCTTTGCAATTGGATCTTCCAGTGAAGCGTTCCTGAGTAGGTGCACAAACTCCATGGTTTCCTGCATTTTCGGCAGTACTGCACTCCGGATGAGCTGATCGATATCAATATTGGGCCTTGTTACAGGCCCAGAATCAATCTGGAGTTTGTTAGGAGGAGGGAGTTCGTCAGGAGGAGGGAGTTCGTCAGGAAGAGGGAGTTCATTAGGAGCATGAGCTTCTTGCTCATAGTCACCATTAAACAGAGAATCGTCGTCCTGTAAACTATCATGTCAAACAGGTGCGTAAAATTATGTGCAGTTCTGAACACGTACCATATTAAGTTCAGACTGTTTGGCTCATTTGTGGTGTCCAACTTTGCGTAAGGATTCCACACTCTCTCGTGCTCGTTTTGCAAGACTGTGGATCGTGTCCAAGCGACGAACGCTGGGAGGTAAAGACAGAGCGCTCTCTGTAGCTAGAGCTGGCACAATTGACATCCTGTGCCCATGTAGCACTCAGCCAGTGTGTATTCTTTCTCTCTCGTCCTGAGTGCTAGCTTCCTTCAGGTGCATGCGCCATGTCGTATCCGAAACCATGTGAGACTGGCCTTGATTGTACTTGCGGCAGACACATATGTATCGGGGAGCATCTTCGAGTTGCTTAGAACTGGAACTTGCATACATCTAACATGTAAAATAGACGCTAGAAAGACTAGCGGAAGCACATTAGTTTACATCAGTATAGGTAGATTGCAAGTGAGAGACATTGCGCACCTCAGTAAGTTCAAGAATAATGCATAGCTGGGATGATCCAAAGGAAATACGAGAGACCAGAGCATTAGCTAATTGTACCGGTGAACGGACGAGTGGATGGTTCGAGTGGTCAAGAAGTAAGAAGGTAGAGGTGTCGAAGGCGATAACTGTAAGAAGGAAATATCAAGTCTAAATGCAGGATCATCAATACACCTCACTGAGGCAACAAATGCAAGATGGAAACATGCTTACAGAAACCAGTAAGGGAGAAAGGTAACATATTTTGATGCGCGCCAGTGTGTCCACATGGAGAGCCTTCTTGGAGGATCGAGTAGAGTTTGGATGAGTGGTATATCTACTACTACTAGTAAGTTGATATGATGTTATCATAGTGTACTGCATTGATATGACGTTACCATATTGTACTGTATTGATGCAATCGTGATGCATTGATGCGACAATGTGTGGGATCCTGGGATGTGATTGTGCAATGCAATGGTGTATATGTATGTGACACAATGTATACAAAATGATATGAAATTATAAAGTAGCACAGACCAGCACAAATGGCCATAGGATGAAAAGGGAAATTCAGGTCTCAGCATATCCTGGCTGTTTTGAGCACAGCCAGTTCTTACTGGGCATGACCACCGGCATGTTGTCCATCGCGTCATGCTGTGTCGTTGTGTTTCTGTCTTCCTTGCTCACTACTATGGCGACTTCTCCTTCATTTCACGGTGTTGTTGGTCTTCAAAACGGAATCAGATACCAGATCGACAAAAAGAATTACAGGCATTATGACGCTTTCATCGCGATTCCAGAACTGAGAACTGGGAGATGTTCAAATCAACGTGTTCACATTTGGTGTGAATACCGCACCTGCAGAAGACGGAATCTATCTATTGGATGCACAGACCACTATTGGTCTAGACACTGGTGATACGCAGCAGAAATTTGGGATGCGAAAATGGGCAAGCTTCTCAACACACTCAGTGAGTCTTGAACACAGCTGGATTTATGGCTTGGCCTGGACTGGTCAAGCAGGGAGAAGTGGACTTTGTTGTCATTGAAATTTACTGAAGTGTCCCGAATTTCCACTTCTTCAGTTCAGTTCACGACACTACCAGAGCTGTCAAGAACCAGGACTCGTTACCTCCAATGCAATATTTGTGCTCACAAGGAACTTTCAACTGGCAGTTGATTCACTCCAAAACAATGCCCAGGCACTTAACATTATGCTGGACCTGTTGCTTAAATAATGTCCTCGAAGTTTTCATCCGGTTTTTGCTCCCACCTTTCTCACTGCATAGCCCTCTCTTAGCTAGGTATATTTATCAAGTGATAAGCATCTCGAACTTTCTAATCCCTCGGCACTTGACACACCGGCAGTTTGGGAGTTTTCCACTATGCAAGATTTGTTTCAAAATGTTAGTGATAAAGTTGGAATTTTTACTGTACATTTTGACACAATAAAGATCAAAAATTTGGATAGTGCTAAAATCCTGCACAAAATTCTACATTTCATGCACCTTTTTGAGCGATGTAAATTATGAAGTTTTCAGTGCGGGAAAATGCTTCCCAAAATATCATGTGATGTTGGTCATTTTGCAATTGCGGGCACAATCAAATTTTTCAGCAAGATAAAATGGGAAAGTAAAATACGGACTTTTAGTGTGAGAAAAATGACGTGGGCACTCGTTGGGCATTCATTGGGCAATCATTCATATCGGGTATTTAGGCATTCACATTTGTCAGGCTCGTGGAAACTATTGTGTGTAGATTCGTGAACAACTAGAATACGGTATCACTAGCATTACATGACATAGTTACTTGTCTAATGTGAGGTTAAGGAAGGGATGTCAATGCACCACCCAGACCAGTTAGCGAGCTGCAATCACCATCACCATCATCAGCATCCGCATTATCTAGCCTACACCTCTTGCCAGACAAGGTGACTTCTACCCCCGAGCCTAATAGTGACTGAGACTTGGTGAACAAGCCCAGCTTGTACTTCTCCTCGTGCTTGAGTTTTTGCAGCACGGTGGCGTCTTTGACAGGCCAACCAGATAAATCAAGCTGCTTGTTGAAAATGTCTATCACAGTGTCGTGCGAGTCCAGGACCTTCATATCCATCTCCTTCTTGTAGACAGGGGAGTCAGTCATGATCCCATGTGCAGCTATCAGCAAATCTTGTGTGATAGGGACTTCTCGCATTGCTTTCTCATATGCGAGCCGGAACTTATCAAATATCATTTGCTGATGGTCAGTAATCTGAGTGTACCGATGTGAGAAGAATTCAGCGAGTGCATGTATAAGACCGTCGAGCGGTTTGCAGTCGACAAACATGATGTTCAGAAGGTTGCTTCTCCTGATTAGCCAATCTGCTTTTGAAGATGATCCGGGATTGGTTTCGAAGACCTGTGTTGCGAGTGATGTCCAGCAAATGATGTCCATGTACGTCTCCTTGTACATAAGAGCCATCCACAGAACAACATAAAAGCTTGACTCAAGATCATCCTTGACTGAGTGTATCGCATATTTATGTTCAATGAGGTATGCAGACATGAATTGCCAGGTTCCCTAAGTAATAGCAAAATTAGCACATTATATAAAGTGCATGGAATAAATATACTGTGCGTGTTGTTTGCTGGGGACCCTGAATATTGATTAACTTTGCCAAGTCCCAATCGATGAGGTAGCCCTGCCCTTTGTAGATGACAACATTTCTGACACTGAGGTCTCAATGTAGCACCTTTGCAAGTTCGAATGCTTCCTTGTGAGCTGTGTTGATAGATTATGAATAAGACATGTGCGAAGTGAAAAACACGTACCAATCAGTGCATCACGCACAGCCAGAATAAGTTGACGAGAACTCTCAAAGTCAGTCAGTTTTTCGCCCACGATATTGAGAGCCAGACGGTGGAGAATGTGCGGAGTGAGAGGCAAGTGGGGAGTTGCCCACTTAGTGCATCCGAACTTGGCAGTTTGAGTAGATTGCTGAGCGATAGAGGGGGGTATGTCATGATATGCGATGCAGTTTGTGATATTGGAAACATTGTGCGAATGCAATAATTTATAGGTCTCGCCTTCTGATAAAACATTGGGTAACGATACCTGCCAAGAGTCCTTGAACATTATGACCTTCTTGTTGAGAAGGTCGAATGCTGGACACGCACGGGTCCAGCAGCCAACAGGCGAGTAAGATCTTGTAAGAGGTTGAGGAATGATTAATGTAAGTGAGCCGGGGCCCTCGACACTAGGGATATCAAGTTTGAACATACGAGTGGTACTGGGAATATTAAGCTGTGACCTTGCGAGGTCAGCCTCCTCGTCGCCAGCAAGTGTTACAGAAGTGTCGACACCACACATTTCAGGTGATGCTTGTGCGTAACGATGAAAGAAGTCAGCCAAATATGGCTCGTTATTGTAGTCGATGGTGCTGGTGACAATAGCGCCCTCCCTATCCCATCTGATGATGCGAGCGTGATCATGTACGATCAGGAGAGAGAATGTGTGGGTACGGAACTGGGTGCCGAGCTGAGCTGCAGCATAGCTAGTTATTTGTCCCAGAGTGTCCATACCCCGATTCATCTTGGATACAATGCTATCAACCCCAGAAGGGTTGCAAAATGCATCGTGGGAGTAAGACCATTTGAATTTGACAATAATTTCTGTTGTAGAAACATTGCAATTGTGCGATGAAGGTGCACATCCATCAGGATACACGCAGATGTCTGGCTTGATATTGAATACTGTTGAATTTATTTTTGAGCAGTTTCATATGTCTGGGTGACTGTGGGTGTCGACAAACGACAATTGAGGCGCGAAAGGTTTAATGGCGTTAATCTAGGGTTAGGTTGTCAATAATCTCACTATCGTATACGAGAGATATACTCACAAAAGGTATATAGGCATGTTCCTCATTTCTAACAGAGAGCATATCGCTGAATGCTCCAACAGCAGAAGTGAGGGACGAGGGATCATAATCGGGAATTTGACAAGTAGGAAGGAATTCCTGGAGAAAGTCTTCAACTGGCATTGGGCCAACAAAATAACCTTTCATCTCTTTACCCATGGCCTGAATAGTTTCGTGCCGGCATCGTGTAAGAGTCGTAAAGGGTAGCATGGTGGAGCTCTCCCGTTTGATAGGAGTATTGATGACATCATCGGGAACTAGATAGGGGCCTTCCGCAATGGGAAGCGCTGCTGTTTCTGCGGTAGGGGTGCATTTGGCAGGCACTGCAAGGTCGGGCACAATGTTCATGATGAAAATGCTGTGTACAGGGTATGTATATGACGTCGATATGTATATGACGTTGGTATAATTGATAAGTATTGTGGGTATGTGGGTATATGTACAGACAGACACTAACGGCAAAACCCGGACCGTGGTGATATATTCGGAGAAGAGAGAGAAGGGAAAAAGAAAACACATGATCACAGTTGGTGCCTTTTATAGTGAATGAGACTCAGTCTGGATTTTCCCGGACCCAGAACACCGCGAGTATCAGGCCACCGACACCTTCTGCATTTTGAATAAAGATTGATAGTATCTGGTTCAGTCCTATTAATTCATTGTGAGACATGACATGTGAAAAAAGGGTAAGGGACATACCGAAGACAAAGACACAGCAACAATGTGCTGTGGAGAAAAATTCCATCATGCAAAATGCATCACTACCCACTCAGGCTTGACAGTTTCGAGGCGTTCAGCAAGCATTGAGGAATATAAATGAGACGGGAAGTAAGGATAGTGACGGAAAGGGTCAGAATGAGAGTGCAGAGGGAGGTAATGCTGTACAGCGAAGCCCACTACTCGCTCCATCTCAAAAATGTACTTGATGATACCTGGTGTTGGTTGCATGTTCCTGATACCACCAGGATAATAGAGGATGAGACTATTGCCCACATGGGTGGAGTCATGGGTATAGATAGATCCCTCGTGAAGCGTGCGAGTATGCAAGACTGCCCGCCGAGCTTGAATGAGTTGGCGGAGGTCGGCTGGGATAACTTGTGGTGTAGGGGAGTGATCTTTAGAAACAGAAATAGGATTAGCATCGACTAAGGGAGATACGACGGCGGACTGGTGGGGGTACGCCTCACACCAGGGCATCCGCGCGCCCAGAGATGCGATAGGGGACACTGGGGGTCCCCTCGACTAGCTAGTATTGTCCTCCTTAGAGTACTTCTCTCCATAGGACATTAAATCTAAATTAAAAAAAAAAAAAAAAAAAGGGAGATACGAATCTGTCGAATAGAGACTTCACCTCCCTAAACACGGGAGGACAAGAAGGTCGAGTGAGCCAATATTTGAGTTTCACAGCCTTGATGTATGAGTGAAGGAGAATCGATTCTTGCTGACCTGTATAAGCCAGCGTAAGGAGTCCATTATTAACAAAAGTGAGAACTGTACCAAAAATGTGATTGTTGGGCAACTGCTGCAGCTGCCCAATAAGACGCTCATATGGGAAGCACCACCATGACCTCACAGGACCGAAGAGCTGCAGATAGTCCCAGACATGCAACGCCATATTGCCATTCGTGCAATGGGGTGCATGTGGAAGTAATACCTGCAAGTCTCTCATCCAGTCGACAATGTAACCTCGGTATGCTTCTGCTCGAGCTGTTGTCATAGACCATTGACACACAATGTGAATGGCAGATACAAGTGCCATCATATGATCGAGGATGGCACGACGATTGACTGCAATTTCTGAGGTGCGGTGAGTAGATCCCTCGCCCCACAAGCTGACCAGAGCTATGGGTAAATATAATGTCATTAGTGTGCGCCATTCATCAGCCTTCAGGGTTCCAGCTTTGGTTTCTCCGAAGTTATATGGAACTGATCTTAAGGAGGATGGCGTGTCCATCGTCCTAATGACATCAGTGATACGTCGCATGACTTCTGGGGTAGTGATGCGCAATTTTGATAGCTCAGGAGCGAAAGGTTGGGTCCGACGCTACACAGGGATGACTTAAGAGGGTACAATAACACCAGTAAAGTAAAATACCTACCCAACTGATAAGCGATCTGACCCAATGGGGTTTGAAGACCTTTTTGCCAGGGTGTACAGTGGCTCAAAAAAATGTCCCAATGTTTGTAGGTTTTCATGTAATTGTGTTATTGCGAGCCAGGGTGTGAGAATCTGACTAGAATTATAGAGATTATGTATAATTGATTCAAACTCAAAAAAGTGTCCCAATGAGTCACCTAATTAAAATAGCCATATCTTCGCACGGCGTCAATGGATTTTCACGCTATAGGGGACATAATTGTAGCCGAGAAGCGGAGCGTTTTGGGACCTCCCTTTGACTTAGTCAGATTCTCACACCCTGGCTCGCAATAACACAATTACATGAAAACCTACAAACATTGGGACACTTTTTTGAGCCACTGTAAGACGTCTGGCGTGATGCCCAATCCTATTGACATAAACTGAAGTGATGCGACCGTCTTGTTCAGCAGCTTTCTCTCTAACTGTGTGAGGTGATCCTCGATAAGCTGTAGGTCATTGCCCTCAAGGTTGGGGACCGCCTCAGTAATGAGACTCTGAATTTATTTCACAACTCTGATGTCCTTTTCTTGGAATTCTTGAGGTTTGTTGAGGTCAACGTCAAGGAAAGGATAAGTGAAAGCAGGGATAACATCAGGCTTGCGATGTGCGGAATCAGATGTGAGACCTAAAAATTCACGAAAATGAGCATGCACGAGACCCTCCAGCAGGCAATGCATGGCGTCAACGACGATTTGACGAGAGGGATCCCAGTATGACAACCTCCAGAGTGTCGACCAGCGCACCCTGTGTGATGCGAACAACTTGTTGCGCTCAGCTGAAGTTCCGGCATTCTTCCAAAGCTCAGCATAGTGGCACAGGTCACATACTAGACAGGCTATGGCACTACGTGTAACTCGGCCGTGAGCGTTGAGTGCTGTGCGGGAATATTGTATCCTGTGCTCCCAACTTTTAACCATGTCATCAACTACAGGATCGAGGAAGAAATTCAACTTGTCTCCTGAAGGTTCTGAGGGTCCAGGAATGATACCAGCTAAGTACATATTCTCGTGTTTGTACCAGATATCAAGGGGGAGGTTCAAACATGCGCATGAGATGATGCTGGTAGATGTTGATGCATTTCGCTGACGATTGCCTTCAACGTTGAAAAAATCAACATTGAGCATGAAAGTGTATCGGCCTTCATCGCCTCTGTCGATAAATAGGGACTGGCCGGACGGACTCTTGAAAGTGCGAAAGAAGCTTGCATCCCAAACATCTTTGACGATATGAGGTGTAGTCCCGATGGATGCTAGTAAATCATCACAAGGCTTATCCATTAAGGCCTCTAGGTCAGGACGAGATAGCAATCCAGTGAGGTAGTCATGAAAGTGATGGTAAATGAATGTTTTTATTGGCGCGAACTGGCTGTCGGCAGAGCGATGCAATAACGGTTCGCCACAAGTATCACCTTCTGGTATGGGTTTGTTGAGACAATTCATAGGATATCACGGGTGATTTGAGCCGAGGTCAGCTGTCGGTTTGTAAGTACAATTGCATGCTGTACAGACTGCATAAGTAGTGGTCTGGCCGTCGAGTTTGAAGTGTGAAAGTGCGGCTTCCATAGATCGCAGGATCTGTGCAAGAGTGTTTTGACGACGAGACTCAGAATGAGGATTCTGTGTCTCCATCACTAGACTCAAAATCAAGGAGAGAACTCCCATGAAGAACTCCCTGTGTCTGCGCCCGACGCCAAAAATGACAACAGAGACTGCCCCCAGAAAGAGGGATAGTTGAGCAATCTCGTCACAATAGTCGACTTGCAAATCGTAATGATGAGCTTCATAGAACATTAGTCAGAGAAACATATGGAGGAATGAATGGCACTCACCAGAATCAAACTCGAACGGTTGAGATGATACAGGAAATTCATCTTCCTTGTTGACGATGAGCCTATGCATTTCATCACATGAAGCTTCTAGCCGACTTCTGCGAGAAACGATGGAGGAGACCTTATGCTTGACTTTTCTGAGGGTCATAGTTATCTCAGCTAGCTCATCTCGTATGAGACGTAGCACATCACAAGAAGTTGTGGAGAAAATTTGAGTGCGAGCTCTAGCCATCTGTGACTCGACAATGTTCAAAGTTACTTGAGCCCTCAACTGGCGCCGCATTTCAGCAGCCTGGAGAGCACGAGCAATGTGTCTAAGAAACAACCACATTAGAAAGCTTGAAGTAATGCGATATATGATACAATGCTTACTGCGTATCCTGCAGAGTGAGTCCAGGTTCCAGATTGGTCGTAGCATCCAGAGAGTAGCCTTTTCCCTTGGCCCGTTGAACTTCTGATTGGGAAACCCAAAGTTTGCTATGACTATCTGGATCGGCCTCATTGTCGCTCAGGGTGATCGCGAATAGTTCAGCGGCAAGGTCATCCACCGGTGTCGATGTTGTGCGTAAATGTGCTGGGTGAGCCAAATGTTGAGAGGAAGAAGCTTCACAGGATGAGGAAGCGATGTTGGCAGCTTGCAACAGATGTACATGCTTCATCGTGATGGGGAGTTCTTTGCCGCCAGGATTACTAGGCACTCCATCATCTCCAACCTCACAGCATCGGGTACATTTGCAAAGGAATATTCAGCTAGGCATCTAACAAACTTCAGAACAGGACAACTGGCTTCATAGATTCTGACCTTATGAGATTTATGAGAATGACGATAGGAAAAGTAGTTAGCACTGATCGTTAAGTCGGCGGAGGCACTTACAGGGGAGCCGAATCTGAAATTTGAATTGTGGCACACTGCTCGCACATAACAGACTAACTTTCATTTTTAAAATACTGTGTTGGGCGTGTTGGCAAGCACCAAATCTCTGATGGAAATCTCTAATGTAATGAAATGCTCAACGTAAATTACATAGTAAGTAAGTAGTTACAAAAGTGTATGAGCTTGTAACTTGGTACTATCTGGAACATAAGGGAAAGAAAAGAAGTCAGTAATGAAAGAACATGCCTGATATAGCAAATGACTACATAATCAAGCTCTACCAGAATTTGGCACCCAGCGCCCGCTGGGAATTTTTTGGCGGGCACTGCCGGCCAGTGTAGCATTGGTCAATTGCAAAGTAGATTCAAGACGGTGCGCGGATGCAATTGACATGTGGATGGAATAGGGCATACATCGGTATACATCTTTGTAAGTATCGTACACTGCGCAAATACAGCCTTCGGGTATTTTATTCTGAGAGGATGGACAAATTAGATAGGCGCATAACAAACCATGAATTAGAGGGAAACTTCGGGACACAGTTTCACAGACAATTCGACATCAGCAGCAGTAAATCTGCACATAATGTGAATAAGATGCTCAGCAGTGAGGTTGGAGCAACCTCGCATACTGACATGTTTGACTAGTGGAAAGGCTTCAATCCATGAAGCAGATAGCTCCTGAGCTGCGATCAGTATTGAGGTGTTGAAATAGTGCTTTAACAAACACATACCAATGCATCTCCTACCAAAGCGGGGCACGAGCCTGCAGCGTCCGAGGAGATTGCCAAGTGTTCAACATGAACTACTGACTGAGTACCTGGGCAAATCATTGCCGAATAAGAAAAACCCTGCACAGGCAGGGAAAGATTGAGGTATCCAATGCTATTGCAATAGCTGACACATTGTAAGATGGTGGTAAGATAGTCAAGTGAAGCGTCCTGAGACTGCAATGAGAGACCGAGGTAGGTGAGGGTGGGTGGTTTAAGGTGACTCTGAAGGACTGCGAGGACATGGGACAAAGGCCCATCTAGCATAGATACCGACAATAATGTCAAAGAAGCGGTGATTCGATGGGCCCTCCAGAGACAACCAGGTCGTGGAATGATACCAAGGCTGTCAACGCCAGGATGACGTGCCAGAAAATGAATGAGAGTGGATGGTGCGCAATTGGCGTCAACTTGGAGTTTGACGAGCATTGGGATGACCAAGTGCCGCAGCAGTTTGTCCCAGTGTGAAGGACTGAGTTTGATAGAACTGAGTCGGAGTTTTTCTAAATAAGAAGAGCGGATGGTCTGGATTGTGAAAGGAAGAAGCTTGGGGGAGAAAAATGCCTGTGATGATCCATAAAAGGTTTTGAGGTGGCTCTCGCTCACATGCCCCTGAATTCGGGTGAGTCCAGTGACAGACAATGAGCCAACGCGACTGTAGAATCCCATGCACATCAGATCTTCACAGCCGAAGGCACGGATGGTCTCGAGGACTGAAGCAATATGAGGGAAAATTGAGCAAGTAAGAATGTCAAAATTCCAGAAAAGTGTTATGTATCGTATGGATTTATGAGGGACAGACTGGAGAAAGTGCGAAAATGCAGAGAGCTGCGTCATACATCAGGATCTAACCAACATAACATCATACGCGGAGGACGAAAGGTATCCATACATATCCAAGTAAGCAAAACGTCAAAGTTGTGCGAGTCTACACAAATGTGAAACATGTCCTGCGGTGACGTTGGGAAGCTCCGATTGATGAAGAAGAGGGGACCAGCGATTTATTTGAACAGAGAACACACTTGAGTAACACATCGCAGATCTTGCACTCCTAGAAGAGCGACGATGGCAATGAGGATTTCAGCGGGTAGGGACCATATGAATACTGGGGCTCTACAAGGCTCATAAAGTTTGACATGTTTGATTGAAAAGGGATCTAGTATAGCATCCGCTTTATGCTTCAAGAAAATATCAGACTAGGGTCGAGATCAGGAGAGCCAAATATATATGAGGTCTTTGCGTACCACCTCCCTGTACAAGCGCTTGGCTGATAGGCTCATAAAGTCAGTGTTGCGCCAAATTATCGCTTTGGGCTAAAACTTGGTCAAATACCGATGCATATATTAGAAATTGTGATGTACCATAGTAGCAACAACTTGGCTTATGTCGCCAGTAGAATAAGATTGCAGGATATGTTTCAGCGGTGCCTTTGCTAGAGTGATGTCCTACAAATTGGCAGTTAGTGGGTGCCTATGCGAATATGGAGGCCTCACCATGCCAGAGAGGGTGGTTGTCGACAAAGTGTCCCAGGACTGTACATGAGAAATATGTAAGTCACAACCAAACAGAATGAATATACAGAGCGGACCTCATGGAAATCAGATTTCCTACCAGAGATGTGACTTGTCGAGTTTCCCATTGTAAAATAGGCTAGACGGATTTGAGACGACTTGCTTTAAGTTGCTCAAAGTGATTGTTCTGAGGAAGCTTATTGTTTGGTTGCGACTATTGTGATACACGAGTTTTAAGATTGATCACTTAATTACGGAGGGGAAAAACCAGAGGGATAAACCAGAGTTTCTCACCCGCAGAGGGGATGAACCAGAAACGCTTCATCCTAAGGGAATACAAAGCTATGAGATGAAATTCTAGATGGCCCAGATGCAAATCATGGGACCTGATTTAAGACTTACATAAATTTCTCAATCCCACAACTCACTCATGCCCAGGAAATCTACTAAGGTCCGTAGCAAACACCTCAAACCATATGTTCGGCCCTTGCCACATGTTGAGGGGTCAAGCAATGAAATGGATACAATCACAGCACCTCTGATGAGGAGGTTTGCAATCTATCTCAATGAGTATGATGTTCATCTGGAACAGGTAATGAAAACAGCGTGTTCATAATGAAGCAACTACTCAACTGATGCTCCCCAGTGAAACACACAGATCATGTGGATGGGGTCTGCCATGTCCATTGATGAACCCAGCGAGACATTTGGAAGTGCGCAAGATGTTTCAATCCAAAGCCTTGTCGTAGCGGGCGACGAGGTTAGCAACATAATCCCGGAGACAAGCTCCCAGACTTACCTGTATTCAAGGCATTTCAAATGCAGATCTCAATGGCCAACGTTGCCAATGATATCAATAGCAGCAGTCAGGCTGTAGGGCATTTGTCTTCGAAGAAAACAGAACTTATTCGCGGCCTACAGAAGGCAACAAACAAATTTCTCCATCGTCATTGTAAAGGGGGGCATCCAACTACTGACCTATTACGCGAGCGCATCCATGCAGCACTCGAGAGTGCATTATTGGGCATGGAAGTGGACGACATCATGTCGAAACAGCACTCTAAGGGTGCAGAGAACCTCAAAACAAACGACATACAAGATGTACGGTGGTGAATTCATTTCACAGTAATCTATATTGATCATGTTCATCATAAGCTTCGCACCGACAACAAATTCATCTCACCTGTAGCACAACAGATTTGGAACAGCATGAAATGCAGATCATTTTCCCCCGGAACTGTTCCAAGCATGGAACTAGAACCTCTGTTAATTTGTGGGCAAGGTGCGTTCATGAACCTAACATAGTGTGATGGTCTAACAATGAACCATACAGAAGGCACCCTTGCTAGAATGCCAGGAGGATATCCAACAAAGTGAGACATTGACAAATTGATATCTGAGAATAGAATGTACTAGATTTTACGAGAGTGTATGTCCCATCCAGAATGAGTTCACAGATTACGATGCCGAGCAAGGGCACAATTGAACTACCTCTCATTTTTGTTATACACTCTTCTGATATTCAATCAATATCCAATCTATCTACAACATTCAAATTCAAATCAGAAAGAAATGTAGGAGATGAAAGGACATGCCTAATATAGTGAATGACTACAAAATCAGACTCCGCTGATCGCATCAGCACCCGCTTGTCGTAATTGTGGACTTGCCGAATCAAGCTGTCAGTGATGTGAGCGTCAAAAAATACCATGGAGGCAATGCGGGGTACTGTACAGAATTGTATACAAGTAGAAGTACAAAGGGATACAAGGGGATACATACAAGGAGGGGGTACATACAAGGAGGCATACAAGGAGGCACCATAACACACTACAAAGTACAAGGGGGCGTGACCATTAGCAGGAAACGATGATTTCCATCCTCTGTAGCTTCTTGTCAGATACTGTGAACGAAGGAGGTTGGTCATTCAACCATGATGAATTGTATAATGCCCTTGGTAAGCCTTGGATTGGTGGGTGAGAAGACTCCCGGAGTGTAGTGTGAAAATGCTTTGCAGGTTTGCTTCCACGAGGAGTGGAGTTCGCAGCACCCACTAACCGCTGTTGATTGATGATACACATCTCATTATCAATGTCTGCCCTCCACAGCATCTTCTTCAGCCAAAATACCTGAACTTCGCCTTCTTCATGCTCACTCTCATCAGAGCTCATGCCATCTTTGCCGAGAGTCTCCACAAGAGATTGTAGATATGCCCATACCACCTGGTCGTCCTTTCCAGTTGCTATCCTGTCACTCAGCAGGGCGGACATGACTTTCTTGCGAGTTTCAAACTTCTGAAAAGCAGCTCAACATCCTTCAAGGCACAACAAAGATATGACTAACCGTTGCCCTGCAAGTGAGGACCCTAGTGAGCTGCAATCGCTCATTGGTCTGATCCACGAGTCGATCCTCTACTTCCTGCATAGTCTCACGAGTGCCATCACTGAGCATACGAGGCTGGGCCTTTCTCCAGGAATGGTGGCACTGATTAAATTTCTTTGTGATATCGTTTATGATGGACTGATGAGACCTTGAGGCCAAATGGTCCTTCTCAAACATGCCAGTGTACTGGGAACAGAGAATATCAATTACTTTGTGGTTCCACTGGGAGATGTGTGTCGTCGTCATATCCCAGTGCAATTCAAGAGGATCAGGCCCCGGGCCCAGTCCATGCGTGAAAGACGATATGGCTTCACACAACGCAGTCACATGAAGCATGTACTCATCATCTTTCACAATATGGAATGCTGTGTAAAATAGCTCCCTAACATTGGCCTGGCCTTTCATCAGCAATGTCAATTATGTCAGGAAATAATGTACCTTATTATTTCAGCGCTGGGTATCAGTGAAATACTCGACAGGGGGCTTATGGGTTTTGCGCTTCAATTGAGCTGCCTTCAGAGACGTTGTCTGCGATGGAATCTGCAGAACCTTTGTGAAAGCCTCAACAAGCATGCCGACGGTGGCATCCTGAATCGGTACATCAGCTAATAGTGAAGTCAAGGGAGGTGCAGCATCACCCCCAATGCTAGTCTAAGGTCCCTCGTTTCCATCAGAATCTAAACTTGGGTCAGGAATCTGAGTCATGGGTGATGTTAGACAATAAACAGAGATGCATAGAGACATGAGCTTACTGTCAAAAACCCGACAATATTCGTACATGTGGCGACAGGTCTTTTACCTACAAGATGGCGCCATGAAGGGCGAGAGGGGGGGGATCTTGTGATGTTTGCTTGTCGCATTTGGCTCTGTAGATATATCAGGAAAATTCCCCATATGAATATGTTGATACGCACATCCAATGAAGCTATCTTGCTGCTGTACTCAAAAGAGAAGCGGGCTAACTTGGCTTCTTTCTCGGCCAACAACTTCTCTCTAGCCACCCTAGCCTCGTATTGGAGAAAAACATCTTTTTCAGCTAATAATGTGTCTCGTTCTGTGCACACCTCCTGTTGTGCCTCATGTAGACCCAACACCATCCGATTCTGTCACACAAAGTCAGAATGTCTGCATCATCGGGACAGAACCCTACCTGGAGTTCGGCAAGTTCTTTATGATGATTTTCATTCAGTATTATGAGGGCATTGGCTTTGTCACGCTCAAGAAATCCCTGGTGTTCTCGATACTGGGTTATGGTGGATTGCAAATCCAATTCTTGCGAGTTAGCATTGATCTGAAAGTTGGTCAAGTAAAAACACGTGAGATGTTTGATGAGTGTACCTGGATTTGTCGCATTCAGAGCAAAAGATTGTGCTTGGAGAACTGTAACTCACACACAAACTACTGGTTGGTTGTTACAACTCTATTAATAATGCACAATAAGAATATTCAAGTCATATTACAGGTTGCAACACTTTAGTAATTCATTAGCATGTATCAGCCAATTCGAATCGTTCTTCAATTATCGCCAAACAAGTTACATCATGTGTTCGTATTTTTATTTCACATGCTTTTGTTGTTGCTTCGCAGACATATTTTTCAGCTGCATCTGAATTACATCTCCAATTGGCCAACAGCCTTCATAGTCATTGAGCTCTGAGAAGTGAGATAGGGCCTCAAACGAAGTTAGCATCAAACAGATGTAAAAAATGCTAGATATACCTCTGTCTGAATTGCAATCATCGCGGCAGGAGTTTGAGATGCCTTGCTCTTGCTAGTGTCACAATGTTTCTGAATCGAAACGTGAACGCACTCCTAATGACATTATTTCAAAGGGATCTCATTACTCGAATGCCATCTTACCTTGACTGCCTTGAAGCGGCCGGCATCCCACTTTAGTGCATTTTCCAGATTGTATCCACCACAGCCAGGACACCCTGCTTCACTGTCTGGTTTGGGAATTTTGAATTCACAGAAAGCTATGGATGACAGGGAAGAACCTATTGTCAGCTGGCTGATCTGCTCTGCAGAAAATGAGACAGCCTTGGTGACTTTTGGGGTAGGCGGGCTAGAAGGGATGGATGTTACCGCATGAGATGATGTGGTAGCGAACACACACGAAGGAGTTAGAGTCCGCCCTGTGAGTTTAAGTTTACGAGGGAATGATACAATCTCTTCTTGCAAAGATATCGAGATTAACGTTGTCACTGGACAAAACATTTCTGTGTGGTACATCAATAATGGGAGGGCCTGAGGGGGGCCTTCAGGCTCAAAAAAGGAGCGACAGGCACGGAAGATGAAGGCATAACTGACTTTATACCCAACCTAAGCAACAAGACATTTTTAAATGAGTGGTTTAGCGTGGGTGTAGACTGGATGCCTACAGGATAACGTTGTTAGGCAGAATGTCGTGATTGATTGTCGTCCAGGTTTTCATGGACCTTATTGTGTAAGTCAATAATATTAAAGTACTTCAAGACATCTACGACTTACATTGACACCCCCAATGTTTTTATTCCCCACCAACCATTCGAATGATTATTGCCTCGAAGGGCGCCTTGTCGGACACAAGAACGCCATCAATTGCTTGGTGGTCTCTCGCAATGGCAGTATGCTGGCAAGCGAGGGTGAGTTCAATATGATGATGAAATGCAACTTGACTCATCAAGCACCAGGCTGCGACGGAATGAGGATTTGGGACCTCAAAAGGCGAATTCAGCTCCTGATTCCACCTCAAACCCCAGCAGTTCGAAATCCAGCTGATTCGGTGACTTGCGCATGTTGGATTACCCGCCATGAGGCAATGTGCGAGACATTATGTTATGGGATGGGACTTGGTTTCATAGGCATTTGGCAGCAGCAGGGGGAAGGTTTGCACGACTTTGATGCAAAAGTGTTGAGGAGGATCAGAACGGGTAAGGAGATAATGTGTCTTACATATGACCATACTGGGGAGGATACTCGAATTGCAAGCGGAACGCGCGACCGATGTGTTCAAGTGTGGACGTTTGACTTCAAAGGACCGTTGATACCAATTTTCAGCGTTGAGCTCGCTACTACCATCCCGTGCACGATTAATTTTAACTGTGCTGCCAATAGAAACATATTAGTCTTTGGCATGTATGACGGTGAGATGTAGGGATTTATATGCACCTGATTACTCTGAATCTAATATCCTATTCCAGACACACACTCAGGGGCACAGATGGGGTCATCATCGCTACAAACAACGCTGGGCCATTGATGTGAGCGATATTTACATCAATCATCGATGTTCACTTACCATATTACTATAGCAGGTATGCTTCTGTGGATACAGCTCAAACATTGTTCCTGATGGACAACATCATGAATAGATTCAGCTTACATCGCTTAGATGATGCAGTGTGCATCCGTACCTATAATACCAACCCAGTCAAGACATTCCCGAAGCAAGTCGCTTTTGGGGGAAAGGCTACCCTGGTAGTTGGGGGTAGTGACACAGGAGTTGTTTATATTTTTGACAAAAATGAAGGAACATTGAAACAAGTCTTGCAACATGCCAACATGGGCCAAGTACAAACTGTAACGGTGCGCTATTTACATTAAACAAATAATCTGATCTGACAGGCAGACTGTAAGACATATGACGGTACACACCACAGCCTAATCTTCGGGGCAATGTCTATGAACAACATGGAACCGACCATCTCCATTTGGAGTCGCAAACAGGACACTGTTGCAAAGTCGGCTGACCATCCTCTATCAGCGCTTAAGAACTTTGTGCGGGGAATAGCCCAGCTAGCTATCGCAATGGCACTGATAGCATATGTTAGCATCATCATAAAGCACAAGATAAGCTGACCTACTAAACTGCAGGTCCTCGGGCAATACAACACATTCTCATTGGCAACGCTGGAAAATGCCTAGCAAGAATATTCTAAGTTCGGGGATCGACCGCAGGACTTGACGGATGATGTTCATTTTTTACTAGAGAAATATATTGAGGATCAGAGAAGGGGCGAAGGCCATGAGAGGGCGTGAAGCTCGGTAAAGACCAGCAAACATGACGAACACGTAAAGTCCATCATATTAGGGAGCGAGAAGTTGCAGGAGGACATGCAGGCTGTGATTCTTCTCGGAAGTTAGATAGATTCTATAGTGATAAAACTATGTACATGATTCATGGAATGGATCCATTCACATCAATAACGATAGTCATCGATTGGTGAACACCAAAGATCAAGTCTCAGCATCTGTGCATGCAACAGGTATGCCCTTGCTATTATAATTAACAGTACTGTATGTGAATATTCTATCAGTCAAAGTTAAAGTCAAAGCTTATTCTAAATTTAGCAGTGCTCAAGGCGCAGGTCATCCGTCAAGTCATCCTGATAGTCACAGTACAACAAATGCAAGTCAGAAAGAGGCGCAAATGTTGAAAGACATGGGTTGATATACAGAATGACTATGAAATTCAATCTCAGCCTGAATTCACACTCAGTGCCACAGCCGGCTGTAGCCAGGCTGGGTTTGAATCTGTAGTCGTTCTGTATATCAAGGCATTCTGTTCTAACAAAATTTCCTTTCTGGACTTGACTGTGACCATTCGAATCAATAATGTATTAATTCTATAAATTACTGTAACATATCGTGTACGCTATTACGGGCATGTAGGGTTGACAGGACTTTTGTTGTTCGAGGGTCTTAGCATGAAATTGAAACATTGAAGGTCCACATTGAATATTATCTCCACCGCATATTTGATAAGCATTCCAAAAAGTCATTCACTATAAATACGGTTCCTGCGCATTAACATCTCTTCTTTCCGACGTCCCCACTACTCTGGTAGATAGATAGATATTATAGTCATTAGTATACTGAATAGAGTGTATTATGTAAGTGTTTCCATTGCAACAGAACTTCAATTAATTAATGTCAACTACAGAATGTCCAAATGCATGGCATCTGAGTCTCATGATGATGAGCCTGCCCCGAAACACGTCAGGAATCAGAAAGGTGAGTCGTTGCATCATATTGTCTGTTTTATCTTACACAGATCACAGGAGCAAGACCGCCATCACCACTGGCAGATCACGGCGCATGGCGCATTCTGGAACAGTATCTGACCACCACAGACATGACCTGCCCTCAGATGGAGGCAGCCTTTGCTTCATACTTGGGCGATCGATACAATGCGGACGATTGGCAAGAAGTTCGTGATGCATTGTTCTCCGGCAATGGTGATGACAGCGTTGCCTTGGCAAATCTTGTTGCCTTGAAGGCCAGGCATGTATCCCAGGGCGCCTCCAGTCCATCTGCACCCATGTCTGCCACAAAGGCAGCCGCTCGTTTGAGCGCACACATCCGAAGGGTACGAAATATATTCATTTTTGACTTCTATATTAAATAATAAATGTAGCCCAAAAATCCTTTTATCGACGATGAAGCAGATGATGATGATGATGACGACAACGACGAGGAGCAGCAGGAAGAGGAGGAAAACTCTCAGGAGGAGGATGGGGATGGCTCTTCTGTGGGGTCATTAAACGTTGCACGCTTGCCAAGACCTTCGGCCAAGGATAAGTTATCTGTAGCGATTGATCGCATCTTCGACAGGTACGACAGGAAAGCGCCAAACACATGTCGTCGAGCAGCCTCATCCTCCGGCACGGTCCAAAGCAGGATGTACCTTCTCCATGTTCACAGTAAGTGTATATTTCAATAAACTAGCATGTCACTGAATGTATTGCAGGATCTGCCACACAACGTGTCGCTGAACATCTCAGGAGCAAGGGATTCACTGTTACCATATCACCTTGGATCCCAAGTCAACTCTACGCTATTTCAGATAGCCCTAAAATGATTGCAACATCGCTTGAATTGCTCTCTTCCTCTGTGAAAGATTATACTTACATCTCGGAGGAAGAACAAGCAGCGGTTGAATGTTCGCGCTTCACACTTCCCAATCCCAGGTGGGTGAAAATCACTCAGGGGAAGTATAAGGGCGACATTGGTTATGTCTTTGATTCCAAACAATTGAATGACTTTGTCACATTGTTAATTCCCCCACATGACTTCCCTTATGATATGCCTGACAGATCCGTGGCGCTTCTTGACTGAGCTCGCCTCCCGAATGACAAGACAGTGTCCGATATCCTTCAGGATGACAAAGTTGTAGGATGGTCTTATAAAGGAGAGCGGTACTACATGGGGCTTTTACTGAAAAACTTTCGTTGCGACAGCCTAGAGCTAGTCGCCTCCCCTCATACTAACAATATTCGACTACATCTGCAATCTGGGTGGGATGTACCTTTCTTCAAGAAAACACTGGTGGCCTTTTCACTCCAATTCCTGCGTGCAGGTGACTCAGCCAGGCCTATCACAGGAGAAGTCCGTTCAGAAATTGGCACTGTCGTCTCAACAGACCATGTATCTGGCTCCGCATGCTTAGAGTTCACCCTGGATGAACACCGACAAGAACTGGAATTTCGACTCCAGGACATCGAGCGTGTCTTTTGGGTCGGCGACACGGTTTGAGTCGTAGTGGGCGCTTACACAGGTCTGGAAGGGTACATCATTAAAAAGTCTGAGGACTTGTTTCACATGTGTCAAGAGGCCACCAATGAAGAGGTACGAGTAAATAGAACATCCTGTAAACCTGTCTGACATTGCATAGGTGGAAGTATTGAAGTACTACTTAGATCGACATCCCTTAACTCACGTGCTTCAATCCCGGCTGCTGACGCAGCCAGATTTCAACCCTCTCCCCCAGCCAGAATCTCTTCAAATTGGAGACAAAATAGAAGTGTGTGTGGGAGATAACATGGGGAAATGCGGGATTGTAGTGTGGTTTCCTATGGGAGCAACCACATTGTGGTTCCGGGCTGGAGGCAATATCAAGGACCAGCTGATCAACGTCCCTGCAGCCCTTGTACGGCGGATTTGTCCCCCCAAGACTCTCCAATTTACCAAGGAAAAGGGTTACGATGTTAAGCCTGGAGATGTTGTGACTGTCACCTGTGGGCCAGAGTTCCGGACAAAAGGGGTTGTGCAAACCGTGGACTTTCCAAACGCATGCCTAACTCTGATATCCGAGGGCGATTACTCACTCGTAAGTGTCATTCCCCTCAAATGGAACGTCTCTGAGTTATGACAGGTCAACGTCCCTATCGAATTCATCATGAAAGTATCGAATGCGAACCTGGATTCGTTCAACAACATCATCGGGCAAGAAGTCTTCATTATTGGAGGTTCACGAAAAGGTTATCGAGCCACACTATACCAACTTTCTCAGGATACTTGCTCCATTTCGGTGCATGGGCAAGCACGTATCTGTCACGAGTTCCAAATACAAACCACTATTCATTCCTTAATTCTACTAAGAATATGTTTACCATTGAAGAAGTTCCTATTATTGCGTCTATTGTAGAATTACCAGAGTCACGTGATCTATCAGACAATGCCGAAGATGTTGACGTCATGCCTCGCGACACTCTTGGAATGTTCCAGAGTCTTACTGCGGTTGCGACACATGTTATGACATCATAGTTCTATATAGAATCGTACGATACCTTTAATTATTCCAATTGGTTAGTTAGTTCATACTCAGTTTCGATCTCAGTTTCAATATGTGTATATAGGTAGCTCATCGTAGTCAGTAGTTCTTTAGTTCAAACCTCTTGTATCTCCAAGTGAGCAATACCAAGACGTACCTGCTGCCTACCTCCTCTGCGTGATTATTCTTTGTTTGAGTCCTAGTCTCTGCCCAGCGTTAATTCGTTATTGGGTTGTGACAGTATCACAGTCAAACACGAGGAGGTTGTTACTAGGTAACTACACTGCATATTGATTTTTTGATCTTTATTCATGACTGTTTAAGGTACGGAATGAGGTTAAATGGTTTGATACTTGAAGGACCGGACATGATCTCTTTCTGCGATGTGCAGAGGAGATCGTACCTAATGCCGCCATGTCGAAGCAAGACCCCTCCACCTGACCCCGTAGTCCCATCCAATTCCAGTATGGACCCCGTCTGGCCCAACTGGACGTACAACCCCTGGGTTGCTAACAATGCAGAAGATATCGAGGATGCCATTGCAGACAGAGAGGAGAAGTCCCGCAACAACAGTGAGTTTCCAATGCAGAATTCTTACCGTTTGGCTTATTTTATTATAGGCCCGTTACCTTGGTTGATGAAGAAAGAGTTTGCGTTAAAGTTGACTCAGTACCATGTGGTGCTTAAAGTATCACCGAGTTTCATGGGAGGCAGACTGCATAATCGCTTTGTATCGACAACTTGTCCTGACCCGTTCCACGGTGATAACAGACCCGCACCTGATGGCTGCGTCGTGGTATTTTGCACCTCCAACAGTGCCGGAGCTGCGCTTCAGTACTACCATATTCCTGTCAATGATCTGAGTCCAGCTCCACCGCGCAAAAAAAAAACAAAAAATAACAAAAAGTGTCTCATCCTCGACAGCGATTCTCATGGTGAGATCCTAACTGTTGCAAAGTGCAACATGAAGAAGAATACTGTTGAGATTGCGATAACTGCTAGGACTAGCTTCGCTTTGCAATTCGATCAGATATGCCTTGTGGAGGAAAGTAGATTCTGATAGATATATATACCTCGTACTCACAAACTCCTGTACTCTAAACTTGTACTCTACAAGATTATATCCTATACCCAACATGAATGCCCAACAAGTGCCCACGTCATTTTTCCCGTACTAAAAGTCCACATTTTACTTTCCCATTTTGTCTTGCTGAAAAATTTGTTTGTGCCGCAATTGGAAAATGACCAACATTGCATGTTATTTTTGGATGCATTTTCCCGCGCTGAAAACTTCATAATCTACGTCGCTCAAAATGGTGCATTAAATGTAGAATTTCACGCAGGATTTTAGTACTCATTCAAATTTTTCATCTTTACTGTCTCAAAATGTACAATAAAAATGCCAACTTTATCATTGACATTTTGAAACAAATCTTGCATAGTAAAAAACTCCCAAACCGCCGGTGTGTGATCTGTTATTTCTCCCAATGCCGCGGTCAACTCGATCGTGCTCATCTCAGGGCATCAGGGAGCATCAAAATCCTTCAAAAGGCCACATCGCCTTTGCTCGTATATGACATGGCCCAGCTGACCTGATTGGTTATCGATGCCAGCACTTTTGTTTCAATGTGTCTTTATCCTTCTCCATTCCATCAAGTACCTTTCTTTACCCCTCCCAGTGCATGACAAACTCAGGACTCGGACAAACACCCTAAAGGCCCAAGGGTACATTTGGAGATCCTCACAGTTGGTGTCACCGTGGTTCGAACAGCTTGCAGAATTGCTCTTCATTTGCCAGGTTCACACCGTATCTTGGTTGAATTACACAACACACACACTTACCGCGTACCCTTGACAGTTCTGCGCCATCTTCTTCGCCCCTCCCTGCGCATGGAAGGCACCCCCCAAAAAAATCATGCTTAGTCCACTTGGAACTCGTTTTAGATGTATGGAGCACCCCCAATACCTACTGCTACCCGCAGTGCTTCTTTCAGCAGCACCTGATATCAAGCATTCATGGGAGTTGCAGTGTCCTCACCTGCAGTGATATATTTTCATCCGTTCAAGACATCATGACAGGTGGCATCACTATATGTTAAACAGATCTCAGGGTTCCTCTTCCAAGTTTTATTCTCTAGGTCCGTACCTTGACCTAGTTGCATGCCCGTTTGGATGCTATTAATGTTCTCCCAGATGATATCAATATTTGGCAGGGTCTAAAATTGGAGTTGCAGCATCACCACCTGGGGTCTTCATGCAAAACACAAAGATATTTTTGCAGGGGGGCAGTGGTGTGTTTCACAGAGATCGCAGAGTTGCTCATCACCAGCACTCCACAGGTCTGTACCTTGGCTTGGCCGTTCGGACACTGTTAACCCTTTGCGGGACATGGTTAACTTAGTATCTGGATATGACGATAATGACAGGACCTTACAGTGCCTGTGAGAGTCTTCCATATACCGACACTAAGCACAACCCTAAAAACATGACCATTCTCCTTTGTTTTTCACTTACCTGATGAAGCAAGGGTAGGCAGGACCTTAGTTGGTCACATACTTGACACAGTTCATGCACTCCTCCCTACTTCTGCTCTTAACCATCAGTTGACTTCCGTCCATAGTAGAAGCATGATGATCTACTATTAATGACGGGACTGGGTGACGCCTGCTAATGTTCATCTTCTCTTTCCTTGCTCATTTTTTCTCAACTCCAGATACTCACTCGTCCCTGAGCTTGCAGCACGACAACTATCGGGGAATACAGCAACGCTCAAGAATCCAGTAGCAATGTTGCAAATTTTGAGGCCTCGTCTTTCAATGGTCTCGGCTTCGTCGTAATAGAATGAAGTGATACCATTGAAGAACAGGTTCTCTTTTGCGGATACAATGTCATGTGTACTGTATTTGGACGTCCCTATACTCCCAGGGCCAAACTGTGCAACCCGCTCTAGTATTGAAGGTCGTCACGCAGGCAGTCCCCGATGTGTCTAGGTCATGTCACCTCTAGACCATCCGTAAAGCTCAACAAGACCTCCAATCATGTACAATAGACGAGCCCCTTCAGTGACAAATTCCGTATTATATGGGCCACCCGACCTCCATAATATCCCGTATGAGACGGGCCAGCGGATCATGGGCCCATGTTGTGTATATTCTCGATGATGACGGATGGGCCAGGACACATATTATTTCCGATGGAGATGGGTGGGCCCATGTATGCCAATGATATATATATCCTTGATGTTGACAGATGGGCTGGGGGAATATGATCATTCATGGAGATGGGTGGGCCCATCTGGGTAATATGTAGAGTAGGATATTATAGACAGCTGGGCTGAAGAGAGATGTAAGGCAAATATTGTTATATAGACGGGCGGGCTGACGGGGGTGTATTACATATATGGGTGGGCCGAGGTAGGGGAATATTACATAGACGGGTGGGCTGACGTGGGGTGTATTACATATACAAGTGGGCTGACATGAAAAGTATTACATATATGGGTGGGCTGACAAAAGGGATATCAAATAGACAGGTGGGCCGAGGGTGCGATAAAATATTTATTACATAGACAGGTGGGCCGAGGTGGGGTATAATTATATAGATGGGTGGGCCGATGTAGGATGTATTATATAGAAGGGTGGGCCAACATAGGATGTATTACATAGACGGGTGGGCCGAGGTGGGGGATAATGCATAGATGGGTGGGCTGACGTGGGGGAATTGTACATAGATGGGTACATATATGGGTGAGCCTAGATATGTTCCATCAAGACATACAGCTGATGTAGCCACCAGCGAATCAAACATGTAGGATACATGTACACTATGAGTGCATATACCTACCGTCGACCACCAAATCTAAACCCCTAAGCACAAAAACATGAATCGACCATGTGTGGCATTGACCAATAATCAAGGACTGAAGTGGAAAAACCCCACACCTGAACCCTGGTGTGCAACATATCCTATTTATAAGCATGGACACCAGAAGCAAAACACTCACAAAAATATATATGTCAAATTTTCAGTGCCAAACCCCAAACTGAGATGTACCAACCCCTGAATCCCGAAACCCAAGACTGCCAGGTCTCGGGTTTCGGGGTTCGGGGGTCCTGGAACTCGGAACTCGGGAAATTTGGGGAGATCAATAAAATTTGATTTACAATCGAGTTTATTGACAAACACATTGACTTACCCATGTTTGAAATATATTTTGTTTATACATACCGAGTTCTGAGTTCCGAGTTCCGGACCCCGAAACCCGAGACCCAGCAGTCTCAGGGTTCGGGGGTCCAGAACTCGGAACTTGTGAAAATTTGGGGAGATCAATAAACTTTGATTTACAATCGAGTTTATCGACAAACACATTGACTTACCCATGTTTGAAATATATTTTGTTTACACATACCAAGTTCCGAGTTCTGGACCCCCGAACCCCGAGACTGCCAGGTCTCAGGGTTCAGGGTTCGGGGGTCTGGAACTCAGAACTCAGTATGTGTAAACAAAATATATTTCAAACATGGGTAAGTCAATGTGTTTGTCAATAAACTCGATTGTAAATCAAATTTTATTGATCTCCCCAAATTTCCCGAGTTCCGAGTTCCGGGACTCCTGAACCCCGAAACCCGAGACCCAGCAGTCTCGGGATTCGGGATTCGGGGGTTGGTACATCTCAGTTTGGGGTTTGGGGGTTAGTTAAATGTTTACAGATATATGTAGGTTGATTTAAACATTGTCTGAGAGATGTTGTTCGTCTCAAATGTCAAATCCTGAGTTCCGAATTTTGGGACTCAGCACCCGGCACCCGGGACTCAGGGTTTGGCACTGAGAATTTGACATTCGGGTGTTCGGGTTTCGGGTGATATCTACCTCAATCTATAGTTTCGAGTTCTGGATATCGGGAATGATCATTAAATCATTCAATTGTGGTATAGGTAACATGCATTGAAAAAGATTTATGTACATCTATCACTGAGCAATTATGTAGCCATTTCAACCTCCTCACCAGGAAGATCAACCTTTCCCTCAACATCCATCTCCTCATCAGAGGAAGCATATTCTGGTAGGAGATTACCTGGTTCATTAGGGACCACAATATCACCAGAGGATTCTGGCAAGAGGTTGCCTGGTTCATCTGGGAGCACAATTTCGCCAGAGGATTGTGGACCCTCAGGCTGAACTTGGGTGGGCTCAACCATGGGACCTACCATAGCAGATCCATGCTCAGGCATCACGGGTGTGAATTCCATCACTGAAATGTCCAAATCAATGAGGTTGGAAAGTGCGGATGGGAGGGGTGACATGGACGGGGGGACCTCCTTGATCAAGCAACATTAATCCATCGGCCGGTGTGTCTGGACGTGAAAATGAAGGGTGCCGGTCGATCATTGTGCGCCGGAGGCTCTCATGGAGGCGTTGCAGGGTATCAATCTTAGTGTCCTGCTCCTGCACCCGAGCCTCAAGAATCACAATGCAAGCTGCACCATCCCGAATTGCGATTGCCATGGAATGGAGATCCAGCATGGGAACATCGAGTGCTGCACGAGGCACTGCGACGCTGGAAGACCTGACTGCTAAGTAAAAAATTAGGTCAGCCTGTCATCAAGGGTTTGGGTGACTTACCAGCTGGTGCAGGTGCAGGGACAGGTGCAGGTGCAGGTGCAGGTGCAGGTGTCTTCTTGATGGTGATGGTCTTGCTGTGACCACATGACTGCACCTGGGGTGTAGTTGCAGCAGGGATGGCCGGAGGTTGGGACGGGCCACGACATTGACTACGAGTTCGGGCCCTTGACTGGGAGGGAGACAGAGCATTGGATGGAGCAGGGGCAGGTGTCTTGGAACACGTCCAGCCGGTGGTAGACTTCCCTCGGATCTGTTTGGGTGGGGATCCCAGAGATGCAGGGTTGCATTTGATCTTCTTGGTGGAGCAGCGGATGCAAGACAAGCAGGGGAGACTGGTCCTCTTGTCCAAACGAGTCGCACAGGGCCAATTCTCCCTGACACAATAATGGCAGGGGTTGTTCTGTGGTATCCGTCAGTAGATGGATGAAGGGGAATTAA